TGTCTTTTGATCAGCTGGAAGGTTTCGATAGTGAAAATTGTTAGTTACAGGAAAGAAAAGGAAGGATATACATGGCAATGGATACTCTAGCGGTTATACGAAGAGGCGACGTAAAAACGATGATGATTACCGCGGTAGACACGCAGCCTATATTTATAATCTTCTATTTTGAGCTATCAGGTACCGTTTTTGAATGAAGCTATGTTATTGCAGGTGCCGCATCATCTTCTGATGAGTTTATTTCTCTGCATACACCGTTGCCTCCGTCCCAATTATCGCCATCAATTTTAAGAGCTTCTTGGAAGAACAACATCTGTAAGAGATAGAATTATCTTACTTTTTAGCATTTTGCTTAGCTTTTCTCTTTTTGCTTCCTCGGAGTTGCACTGTTCTCATAACATTAGGTCGCGTATTTTTCTACCTTTCAAGTTATTTTTTCAATAGAGATTTGGTTAGGCTGGCATTTTAGCTGAATTTTTGCAAGATTATGACATCCTTATCTCCAATTTTTATCATGTTTTTGCTCTATTTTCTGTCTCTTACTTATATAGCTTCCAACATCCTTTGTTCTAGCTTTATTGTGGGCCAGTGAATCCGTTAATTTTTTTGCGGAGAAGGCATTTAATCAGTCTGCTGCTCGCTCATGGCCGCACTGTGCTGTTTGCCAATATTTCCAACCTCTTCATATGTCATCATTCTCGAGAGAAATTCCGCACAAGTACGTTTGAATCTACTTCAGTCCTTGGGCTGTTTTAACTTCCACATTTGAGATCCGCCAGATTAGCTTTTGGCCTTTGCTTCGCTAAAGACGAGCGTAGATTACCTGCTGTTGACTTGCCTGAGGATGTTCTCATAACGTGTTCGAATTGCGGAGTTACTGTTCATCCTTCGTGTTATGGTGGGCCCTCTAATTCGGCAGGTACAGGTGAGAAATCATCCAATCCAATTTGCCCATTGGTGAGCTTGGTAGTCTGCAGATGTGATAGTTATATAAACGTGTAAAGGCGCTGTTTGGTTGAGATGCAGATTCTGGCGGTTCCTTCATTCAGCGTCATAGCTGCCTCTCAGCATTTCATCCAGTTTCATTCATCTATTGGTTTTGAAGCAGTTAAATCTGTATTCAGTCTCTATTTTTCGTTTTTTGGTCGACATGACTTTTTTGTGTCCTCGAACCGTCAAGAATTCTATTATGCTGCGATTAGCTTGAAGAACAAATGTGTCTTCTAATTTCAAACACTTGCCCAAAAACTGATGTTTACTAGAACTTTTACGAAAAAGATCATAATAAGAAGAACGAGCGCCTCTAATAACTGCCCAAAAAACCGATAAGCGTTGATAAACTCTGATTTGTCCACTTTCGCGTAATTTGATAAGAATTGTTTGGTTTCCGCCGCTTCTCTCGCCTTTTTGCCTAAATTGGTAGCTAATAAAAGCTATAGGTTGATTTTGAAGTTGACAATAATTTGTTGTCCATGAAGAATGTCTGCAGAAAGGAAGCTCATACCTTGTCCAGCAGGCTTTTATAGATGATTGGCGATGTCTGCGCTGTAGGGATCATGATGATATTGCGATTCGAGGAAGATCATGTCATTTGTGCGAGTTGAGAGGAGGCGCATTGGTGCCATGTCGAGCAGGCGCAGACATCTCTGCATTCGTACACACCATTTGTGCCATTTTCAATCGGTAGGTTTGTGTTACTTGCAAAAATTTTCCATGATAGGAAAAGTGAATTTGTCTTTATGTGCAAGGTTCTTTAAGTGTATGATAGACTCTCATAATTATCATTCCGTATTTCCTTTTTCGTGGTCATAAATGCATACAGAACAGTTGGCGTTTTACAGGCGCACGGTATTCAATGACGCGGGAAGTCCAACATGTTGTTACACCCATCCACCACCGAAGCAAACATCTCCAAATGGAATTTTGTACACAATTTCATCTATACCTTCAGTGCAAGTGCTAATGCTGTTCCTTGTAGCAAATATCTTCCACGAGACTACGTCCTTGCAATGGGAGATGAATACGAATCTTCGCGCTATCAATGTGACTTGTGCGGAATCAGTCGGGAAGGTCTTATTAGATGCTCAGCTTGTGATGAGGTAAAGAGCAAATTGTCCGTGTTTTTGATGTCATAAAGAGTAGAGAAAAGTATTGAAATCATTTGAGGACGATGATCCAATCTTGGCACATGTAACTTGTGCGCGACAAGCTGGTTTCTTGTTCGAACGTCGTACTTATCCACAAATTACCGCAATGGTTTGCGATCGGCATCAAGTTTGCGAGAGTGAGGTCTTGCATAATTTGAGCCCGCATAAGAGTCAGTTGTTATTCGCATTATTTCTTCCTTACATTCGCATTTTTGTTAGATAAAGGTGCATTCCTTCACCTAAATTTAATCATTCTACCCTTATTTTTTGGAATTGCTATCAGCCGTTTGAGCGAGATGTGTACGTAGCGTAGTTTCATTCTTACGAGCTTATAGAATATTGATACATAAGTTTATCTAACGTTCCCTTAAATCACCGTTTATTAAGCGTTCTATGGTCCAGAAATCCGCAAAAATCATATTTCATTGTTTTCCAACAAATCGCCAACATTAAAGCTAACTCCTGGTATTCACATCTCAGAGCGTAGTCCTTTGACCAATTTGAGATGAGTTAAACACTTTCTTTATTGGTTAAAGCTGGAATTTGTTACAGTTGGGCCTTTGATGGATATAGATTTGGGCGATACTGTGATAGCTTGGATGGATGGCGGTGCTCTTGTGCGGCAGGGCACAGTGGATAGGCTTGTGCTTCGAACGCAGCTGACGGTTGATTTTGAAGACGGATCTGTATCGGATAATGCACTGCCTAGCGACATTGTATTGTGTAGCTGTATACGACGCAAGAAATGCTCAGATGGACAGCATCAACCTGGCAGCAGGGTACGTTGACTAAACCATTTGTCTTTGGGTTATTCAGAACTGTGATTAAGTCTAGCTTAAAACTTGCGCAAAAAATTATGATATTCAAAGAATGGCGATGCATACCTCAAAGATAAAATGTTCTTAGGTGTTCATTTTTAAAAAGAAAAGAAAACCCAGTAGCATCCTTTTGGGATTGGGAGAGGAGGTTGCAGTTTTATCTAACTAAATAGTAATTTCCAGTTAGAAAGTGTCAGTATTGAAAGTCATTTAGACTTAGTATAACATAATTTTTTCTCGGAGATATGTGATACTTTTTCAAGCGTTTATCAGTTTCAGGTAAAAGTTCGCTGGAATGACGGTGAGCTCTACGATGCATATTATAGATGTACATTGAAGGCGGTGGAATACACTGTTGTATTCCGAGACGGGACTTCTGCACGACTTCCTAGGTCGGACATCTACGGTGCCGCTGATGCGGTGCCTCAAGAAGTGCGGAGGAGATTGCGCAAGTTTGAAGGAGCTAATAGTGCGTCACTATGCTTTACTTAGGTACAAACTGTCAACAGTTATTCATAGATTATCTGTCCTTTTACTTGCAATATTTGTAGTTCAGATTGTCATGCTTGTACAACAAGTGTCGAAATGATTTAGCACATTGATTGTAGTCGCAGACTGTATGTTTTGATGTTC